TTCACGCGGGCTTCTGCCTCGTTCAGGATGTACTGGGGAGCACAGCGCGCCTGAGGGCTCGCTCCCCTGGGCGCCGGGCCGCCCCCCAGGAGGTGCAGGGACACCTTTCCACGGCGCTCCCAGCCCCGGGCAGCTCACGGGTCGGTGGGCGGCCTTCCTGCCGCAGGGCCTGCACCCGGCCCGGTGGGGCCCCTGTGGGCCTCGGTCAGGGGTCCCCAAGCCGGAGAAGCCCCAGCCCCCGCAGGGCGCGCCTGGGAGGGTGCCGAGCACACTCACCCTGTCGATCTCCAGGTCGTCGATGCCGCTGAGGTCCAGCTCGCCGTCCCCAGAAGCGTCTTCTAGGGAAGCACAGCGCTCAGCAGGCTCCGGCCCACCCACCCCGTCATCCCGGGCTCTCCGACTCCGCTTCCTCCTCACCAGCAGCGGGGCTGGCGCTGCTCCTGCGTGTGCGTGTGCGTGTGCGTGGAGTGCACAGGGAGAGGAGCAATGACCCCGACGCAGAGGGAGCAAGATCTGCCCCCACGGGCTGCCGGGCCCTCTCCCGCCTCCGCTGAGCCCCTGCTATCGGCCCACAGCAGGCATCCGGGGTCCCCGGGCACTCCAAGGCACCCCTTGTCTCAGCTCCGGCCAGAATGGCCTCTGCTCCAGGGTCCAGTTCCCCGCTGCCTCAGGACCTCTGCCCAGGGTCCAGTTCCCCGCTGCCTCAGGACCTCTGCCCAGGGTCCAGTTCCCCGCTGCCTCAGGACCTCTGCCCAGGGTCCAGTTCCCCGCTGCCTCAGGACCTCTGCCCAGGGTCCAGTTCCCCGCTGCCTCAGGACCTCTGCCCAGGGTCCAGTTCCCCGCTGCCTCAGGACCTCTGCCCAGGGTCCAGTTCCCCGCTGCCTCAGGACCTCTGCCCAGGGTCCAGTTCCCCGCTGCCTCAGGACCTCTGCCCAGGGTCCATGCACACAGAGCCCCTTTGTGGGGTGACCTGACAGATTTAACTGTCATGCCACCGCCCCTCCCCCAGGCCGCCCTGCCAGGCCTGCCATGCACATGGTGAACCTCAGGCGGCCAAACAGCTTTGCTGAGCAGTGCCCAGGGGTCGGACCCTCCACGGGGAGCCAGGGCCGCCTTACGCAGGGCCTGGGCCCAGCAGAGGAGCAGGACCTGCCGCTGGAAGTGACCTGAGGGAACCGAAGTCCCTTCCCAGGCGGGAGCCCCGTGCCTGCTCAGTGGTCACTGTGGGGCTGGGACTCAGCAGGCGACGTCTGTCTGACCATGGAGACCGTGCCCTCCGCCGGCGCGGCCCCACCAGCTTAGACAGGGCAGGGGATGGGCACAGGGTGCCAGGCTCCGTCCCAGGGCCCTTGTGACACGCGGCCATGACTTCTCAGCTACGATCTGCCCGCAGGACGCTGTGCACGGCACCTCTGGGTCACAAGGGGCAGGAGGGGGCCTGTGGCCACACCTCACAGAGGGCTCTGCCCAGGACCCGAGCCACAGGTCAGCAGACAAGGGTCCCAGAGAGTGATGCCCTGCTGGCAGCGGGGTGTCAGCACCCGCCGGGTCACTGCTCACAGCCTGCACGGTGGCCGCAGCGCCCTCCGCAAGCCCAGGCGCCTGAGGGGCGA